GGTGAAGGAATAACAATCCGCAGGTGACTCTGAAGGGAGAATTCGCAGGGGCATGAAGAGACTTCAGAAAATGTGGAACGGAAATATAAAATGAAAGTAAATATAATGTGAAAGTAAAAAATGTACACCCTGATTTGACATTATTATGGTAACTTTCTCAAATGCTAAAGGCATTCTGGGGTGTGCGTCAGGATCCAAAACTTCACGCTAAGCAAGACCCTGGGTGGCACACCACCAGAAACAGCAGTCAGACAAGCTGTCAAGGGACATACCCTCCACCATATGTATGTTTAGGTGTATGTTTTCTTTCCTGGGGGAAGGAAGAGCAAAGTTTTTAATAACCCCATCACAAAATGTGTCTCTAATCCCACATTCATTTGCTCACCAAATGCTTATGTAGTACCCACTCCACCCAGTTCTGTGCACAGCAGAATATTCAAACAGCCGAACAGAACAGAGCTCAGTCTAGCAAATATCAAATTTAAAAGAGAAAAAAAAATCTGACATCCAATCTCCAGGAAACGCCAATTGCAAATGTTTTTTTAAATGGAGAGTTTTGCTTTAAGTTTTCAGTCAGACACGTCAGATGGTCAACCAGATAACGGTTGGACTTCTAATCCCATTTTGTGTTCGGTGGCCCTGTTCTTTGCCTGAGGGTGCGGGGGAGTAGCTCTCAGCCCCTTTCACCTTACATTTCCTCAGTCTCTTCTCGCCTTACACTGAGCTTGGTTTTGTTGTACTGAAATGTGCTTGTCTGTTCCCACATGAGTCTTCCTGCAGCTCTGGCCAGTGCTTCAGACATACACAGTTACCCTGAGGATCTGAAATGCAGGCTCTCTTAGATGTCCAGAATGGCCTCTGGAAATCTGGGTTTCCCGGAGTCTGTATTATTTTACCACAAAGGCATCTCTGAGACCCATCTCTGGGTCTACCCCTAAACTGACGTTTCCATCAACACTACCATTACTTAGGAAGCAAGAGAGCCTCGTGGCTGGCGGAGACCACTCAAAGATCTCTTAGAGGTCCTATTTTCATTTACTCCACAGTGTAAGTATGGCCAACATCCCAGTGAATATCCTATAGTTAAGTTTTATTTTATCATAGAATCACATATACTTAAGGCTTACTATGAAAATTTCTATTCTCAACTCAGTCAGTCAAGTTGTGACATTAACAGAAATAGAGAATTTGTTTTGTTCAAAAGCCAGACTCATTTACAGATTTAACTGGGCAAAGAGAGAACATACAGTCTTTAAAAACATGAGTCATGGGACCTGATTTGAATACTGAGAAGGGGTGAGGTAGCCCCACTCTAGGGGTGTGTGAATATGGTCGAGGTGTCAAGGATATGGGGGAAGGGTGTCAGGGTTTCCTAAATGGAGAGTCCCCACTAGGTGAAAAAGTCTTGGCATTACGATTCCATGGGGTAGCCTCTACCAGCAACAGCAGCACGATCACCTGAGGTGCTGGTTTAAAATGATGACTTCTGATCTCCGCCCCAGGCCTGCAGAATCAGAATCACTTGATGTTGATCCCAGAGATGTTCTTTTAAGCAAGGAACCCAGACATTAATGGTAACGACACTAATATTTACCAAGCATTTACCATGTCGGTCAATGTTCTGAGCATTTTACACGTACAAGCTCAGGTTCTCTCATGTGTGACTCTGGCTCTGCGAAGCCGGTGAATCACTGGGCTAGATTCTGGAGTAAGATGCACAGAGCCCAATCCTGGATCTCTCATTTTGCTAGCAGGGTGGCCATGGACCGAGTATTTAACTTCCCCGGCCCCAGGGAACTCCTGTGCAAAACAGGGCGACCATTCCCACTCTGCATGGTGTCGTGAGGATGGAATTTCTCATACATATAAAGCACCAAGTGGGCGGGCACTAGGACAGCCCGTGACCTGACTGGGTGCACAGCACCTCACGGTGGGTGCTGGGATGCACCTGAGCGGGGATGACAGGCCAGTCATGCTCTTTCCTCGCAGCTGTGGAAGCCGGCCTGGGAACGAGCAATCCACTCCGTAGGGTTGTGCCAGACCCTGTCCAGAAGCCTCAGAGCCCCTGGATTGTCTTCTTCCTTCTGGGATTGGGAGGGGGTAGGAATCAATCTCATTCCAAGGGGCCAAACTGGGTGGCACGCACATGCTCTTGGGCGGTTCCAGAGTGCCCATGAAGGCCTGTCTCTGCTCACAGAAAACCATTCTTTCCTCCAACCAGCCCCAGGACCTCACCATCGCCTGCGAGATCCCTTGATCCCAGCTGGGCCTCCTCCCGCGGAGATAAAGCCATCCCAGCCTCTCAGAGCCCCCTGCCGTCCTTCCTTGATCCCTCCCTGATCTTTCCCTCTCCCGCTTCACCCCTGCTGAGACAATCCCCCAGGCACAAAGACCCCTAACCTCCTCCAGGCCTCAGCCCCCAGACTGCGAAACTGCTCTTTGATTTCCCTACTGCAAGGAATTCCCTTTCCTTCACCAGGCGCCTGGAAGCTCATTTTCTCATGAATACAAAATTAAATACTGCACGTAAGAGCGACACTTAAACTAATAATCTTTCAACTTCTAATAATCTTTCAACTTCCTTTTCCTAAAAATCAGAAAGTGATCAGGAAGATGGGATTTTAAAATTATGCTTCCACAGGGAGGGTAACCTGACTCCATCTCAGAGAGCAAGCATTGAATTTGGTGACCGGCTCCCCGTTCTGAAATGGTGCACTGTCCCTGACCCACTCCGGAGGAAACAGGTGGCCACCCAACTAAACTCTGGCTCAGTGTGCCGTTGAAGTGGATTCTGCAGGTGTGAGATCACTGTGTTTTTAGGTATACTGAAGACAGTAAATATAACTAGTAACAGGGATATGCCGTATACTGTGCTGGTAAAATCTGGAAAATATTCACAGAATGGGCACATGCAGGCACACCATGCCACAGGGGAGAGAGGGAAAGAGAGAGAGAGAGAGAGAGAGAGTGTGTGTGTGTGTAAAAATTACTAAACAGCGGGGGGCTTCCACAGAGATATGCATTTTAAACTGTCTACATTTCACTTACATATCTTCAGTTACCGTTTCTTAACAGGGACATGATAAATATTTGTTGAATAAATGACTCCGCATTTTCTGGCCTTCAGATCATATCTAATTCCACACACTCTTTGCCTGACAATTAAAATATTCACATCACAGTAATTCAGGAAGTATTTTGTTTTCCTTTCCTTTTAACTCATACAAACACATAATATGTTTAACAATTTACTGCTATGTTTTAAGAATCACACTTTTATGTTTTAATAATACATAAAAGTTTAAAGCATCAGTACTATGCTAAAACATTTTTTGCCTCCGCAGCTACCAGATGAATGAAAACCTCCGTAGCTTGTAAATTTTAAAAAAATAATTATTCGAGGTTTTGTCATGCTAATTATGGAGACTCCTGTTCTCAATGACTTCCACCGGGACACTGCCTATTTTCCAGACCTTGCTTCTAAAACATCCTTTATTTTGTATAGAAAAAGTAATCGAATTAACTACCTGTCTCGGTTCATCTGATTGAAATGTCCTCCCGCAATATCATCCTAAAAAACAATGAGGACTCCTGAAGACCTGAGGGCCCTTTGCAGACATCAGTGCCCTCGGGGCTCGCGGATGGGCAGGCAACGGGCCCTTTTGTGCCTGCCAGGGATCCCGGGCAGTAGCCCTGGCCACCCCCGGGGAGTCCCCTGTCCGGCTAGGAGCGTTCCCACCCGGCTGGGGGACATCCAGGCGTGGACAGAAGGAGCTTTGTAACAGGGTGGACGGCAAACCCTTCTGGGGAAAGGGCAAGAAGGAAGAGGAGCGCTGGAGAGACACCCTTCCAGCCTAAAACAGATTGATTTTCTGGCGTGCTCTCCAGCATGTCTTATTTGATGTTAAATCAAATTAGGACTAATTACATCACACCATCCAAATTTTTGGAGGGAACTACAGTGGTGGAAATAATAGTCTATTTGTCTGCCCCTTACTGTGACCTTTGAAGAGGTGTTCATGTGTCAAAGCTCAGTCCATCTCAGAGCACTGATGTGAAGATTAAATTTGTAATATATGTGAAGCGTTACTATTATATCTCTATATTAATTGTGTGAGAACATTTTCCTGATTCTATTATTAAATAGTAAGGTAATTTTTCTACTAAATGAATATCCTGCCTTAAATTTATTTAAACACAAAGCTTATATTCAGAACCTGAATGACAACCTTCCCCCCTTTTCACTGACCTGGAGATAAACTTTGACCTGTCGTTTGATAATCTCACTTTCTCTGAAGGTGCCTTGTTCCTTTGAGGGATGACAGCTTGACCCCAGATCTGGAAACCGACATGGATCAATACACCTCTTCCCTCCCTCCTTGGCTCACCAGCGAGAACCCTTAACCTCTGGACTTGATTCCTAAACTTTGCGTATTGTTTGCAATCGGAGAACATTTGGGGCAGATGGAGGATTTTTTTTAAATCTGAGTTTCAGTGGGTGCTGACTAAAGTGTGAATCAGAAATTCAGTTCTTAAAAGAAGAAAGTTCTCTTATCGGTGCCACTGAACTGCTGAGCTGCCCCCCCCCCCCA